GGGAGTCAGGGAATATATTATATAGGGAGTATATTCCCTTATTCCCTACTAAGAACCAGTCAGCAACTAGCCACTGTACCTTCTTCCAATTTTAAGACTCAGCAGTACGCTTGAAAACTGCACTGTCCAACCGCCATGGAGCCCCACGAAGGAGCCTAATGTAGTGTAGGGGCCTGAAGAATTAACAGTATCATCTTGAGGTCTCTTTGAGGTAGGATGCATCATTATAGTCATACAAGGGATCTAGGCTCATAACAGTGGCAATTATCCAAGCCCCGTACACCAAATCCTGCTGTAGAACTCTGCCAGCTCTCATGGTGCTCTTCTCTTGGCGAGGCTGCGGCTACGCGAACTTGCTGCTGGGAAGGACATGGAACGAAAACACCTGCGAATGCTGCGGTTTAGGCCTTAGGGTCTGTGTTTCAGGCAACAGGGACACCGAAAGGTAGTTCTAGCTTAAGAATTCAGCTGAGGCATTAGCTATGGCTGGTATAGTAGCCACTCTTCTTCTTCTGCTGCTGCTGCGGCACTCCTTGTCCTACTACTCCTTGCTGTCAGCATGATTATTCCCAATGCCTCAGGCAGTCGAAAGGGGACCTCTAGGAGCCTTATTGTAGGGATTCCTATAAGCATGTGGTGACTCCCCGATTGGGACCTGAAGCCGTAAACCTTAACGTAGGTTTTACAAAGCACCTTCAGGTTGTATCTTGTGCCTCTGTTTGGGTGTGGTGGCGGCGACTCTGTATAAGGCTTTATCTCTAAATAGACACCTAGATGGACATGTTGTTCAATGCCATGATTAAGAGATGATAGGTTGACTGCAAGGGTTCGCATTCGGAAGTTTGTAGGGACCATGTTGAGGAACTTTCGCATTGGGCCTTCATGTTGAAGACTCCCTCATGTTGCCCTCCCCGCCAAAAGCTGTAAGCCAAAGCGGCTCAAACACCGAAACGCAAAACCTGACATCTCGGGTTCTACCCCGCCCATCATAAAGTGGGGGCCACAGCATAGTTGCCATTATCACTATCCGTGTGCGGGAGCACCTAACCCAAAAACCAGACAGGATGTGCTGGATCTTTTTAGCCTCTTGGCTTGAAGCTTTTCAAGGTAGCTTCTTGGTATAATGGTATAATGTTACCATGACAATAAAGAACAACCCCCCCCAAGAACTTGTTTTGCGTTTTTGGTTTACGGAGAGGGGGGCGTCGCAATACTAAACCAAGGGGTTGGGGTAGGACCAGGAAGCGCGGCTCGTAGTACATGCTACAAGTGTAAGGGAATCTGCTAGAGTCGAGATATTTTCGGGCGGACAATATTATTGGCGCCACCCCCTTATTATTGCCGATGGATCTTGTGTAAAGCTTTTGGGGCTCCGAACATGTTAGAAAGCCAATTTGATCATCAAGGATTTTTCTGGCTCGGCAACTATATATTCTTGCCACCCCTTTCAATAATGTGATGGTTACAGTAAGAGCTCCACAAGGATCATAGGGTCTTAGAGGTCTCTCCCAAGCAAGGCGTGCTGTTAAGGGCCGCAGGGACAGCAACAGACAGGAAAGACTTTGAGCCTTTCGGATGCTTCTCAAGAAGGCATCCCTCAAACTTCCGAGAGAGGCGATCCCCGTGTGGCTTCAAGCTTCAACAGGGTTTAGAACAGGGTTTAGGGTGTAGGGTTGAAGCCAGAAGGAACTAGCCATGATTACGTGCTCACACATCCCGGAGGCACACGGCTGTTTTGGGATCATGCTAAAATTTCTCTCCTCTAACAAGATTCTGTGCAGGTGGTTTGGGCCTTATGTAGACACTGAGAGGCCTCTCCAAAGCAAACTCATCAACCTTGTTAATCTTCGGCCGGCCCCTCTAAAGAAAGAGCTTAGTGTCAGCGCGATGATTGTAGCATGATATTCCCCACTTGACCAGAGACATATCAGTCGCCAAGCCCAAAACCATCTTTCCCCGACAGTGTTTGGCCTTTGTGATGGTTAGTATTTCTATATAACTTTTCTTTCACGGCACCTAGGTACAGAGCCGACCCTAAGCCCTAAATCTTTACAGACCTCTCTGTAAACCTTGCAGACCCTCTCCAGAACACCAAGGCTACACAGGCGGCTTTGCTGTTGCTGCAGCCCTGGGTGGTACCGTGGCTTACCGATCAGATTGTGTGACCATCAGGGTTTAGTATTTGGGGCTTTGGATTCAGCTCGCTTTGCACTTCTTGGAAGCACTGTTCAATTCAAAGCGCGCTTCGTATGTAAGATCTCTCATGCCCCAGTTGCTTTGCGACTTGCCATCCTAACCCTGCCGCTATCGCTGCTAAATATTCTAGGTTGGAAAGGGGCCATTAGCCTAGGATTTCCATCTGAAATTGACCTTTCAGAACGCAAGGTCCTTATGAGCATCAATGCGGAACTATGCCACCGTATTAGTAGGAATGATTATTTCGCTTCGATTGCCTGGCACATGGAGATTTGAATGCCAGGGGTCGAGATGACCCCTCAAACCCGACATAAGACGCTACAGGCAACAGCATAAGCCCCCCACATTAGCAAACATATACTATATAGTAGCTTCCATGTTCTTATCCATCATCCCTGTACAACCCCATATTACCCTGTATTATCCCAATCTTACCCCATACTAAGCCTTAAAGCCCTCAATCCTAGGTCCTAATTTCGAAGCCCAGGGGTCAGGCCAGGGGCCTTATCCAGGTGCAAACCGCTGTACCGCTGTGGACGCTGCCCAGAAAGCCGTTGAGGCAAGGACAGCCGCCTTAAACCTTCAGACCTGCGGTTTCCCTCATGACAAGCCTCTCCACCGCGCTTAGCAAAAAATACCCACCCCAAAACACTAACAATATCATATTGGAAGCATCCATTCTCAGGAGCGTAGGGAGTAAAAGGCACGCTCAGCTGATTTCAGTCTCGTTCCTATACTGAGGATTATCCAGAAATGTTCGGATGCCTGTCACCCCCCAGTTGTGGAAACATCCATGTGGTCCCCATGAAGCTCCAAAAACCTTGATCCGCAACAAGGCCTGCCAGCGGAACTTCCAACTCAACGGTCTGCATGCAAAGGCTCAGCGGGATGGGAAGGAAAGAGCAGCAATCTAGTATAGGGGCCTAAATAATTACCAATATTATGGTTCCATATTCCTAATATAATTCTGGTCTATGATACCTCAAATGGACCTCAAAATCATATTGGTAATTACTAGGCCCAGTATTACCTGATGCTTAGTAGGGAATGACGGGCTGCGTGCGAAGGTAAGCCTGAAACCTGGCGAGTGAATGATAGAGACATGGAAACTACTTATAAGCAGCCCAGACTAGGGACCCTAAACCCTACACCCTAAATAGTACTTTCCAATTTCCATTATCCCTATATAACTCAAACATACCCTTATAGAACCAAGCACCCAGATGATTGTAGGAAAGTCTCAATTCTCTTGGCCGCCCGTGCGAAAGAAGATGAGATGCTGTTTGTCGGGGTGGCCTTACATGGCGGCCGCCCCCGTGTATTCTTTGCCTCCAGGTTTAGGGCTTAGGGTATAATCCGCCTTAAGTAGATAGAATATGGCTTTGGGTATATTATAATAAGATCCCCATGTACCCCATATTCTATCTAGTTAAGGGGGACTATAGACCGCTGAGTGTTTGCAAGCAAGTCTTTCGAAGGTCTGTGCAAGCGTTGAGGAGGGCCAAGGTGTTCAGAATGCGTTGGGAGCTTAGTATTGGGGTTATATTAGGGCTATATTAGGGCTACATTGGGGCTATATTGGGGCTATATTGGGGTTATATTGGGGTTATATTAGACTTGCCTTCCAATGCAGTCAGTGGTTGGTTGGAAAGGCCATGATCTGGGACTATTCCCCTGGTGGCATGAGGGGATTATACTTGGCGGGTTAGGAGGACTTAGTAAGTATATTGAAAACCCTATAAGCCATGTAGCAATGGTAGTTATCCCCGTTATTAACCTACTTACTGCGTCCCCCTGACTCTCCAACCCTAAATCCTAAACTATGAAGCCTAAACCCCTAAGATTCTATGAGTGTCATTTTATTTGGGGGTACTGGGGTACTATGGTGCCCAAATATAGAGTGAGATTATATCCTCCATCTGGGGTATAGGATTTTGTGTAAGGAATAGACTGTTTACATGGTTCAACCATCCTGGAATCGTGCAGCCCTTTGGGACGTCATGCGAGGTCCTTCTGGGCACTAAGATCTAGGTCCAGCAAGAACGCATCCACGCGCAGAACCTCCTTCCTCTGGGCAGAGTAGTAGTAATAGTAGTAGTAGTAGCAGGAGGAGTAGTTGTGGTGTGGTGTTGGTAGTATCATCTGCAGTTTCAAGATGTATCAGAACCATATCACCGCAAGGCTCTCTCGAAACGGTACTTTCTCAAA